GCCGCCGGGCCTCAAGATGGGCGACTCCGCCGGGAGAAGCCGGGGGCCGGCGCAGAGTGGGTCTTCCACGTACCATTCCTTGTTCAGGTAGAAAGGCGGGAAGCGCGCCCTTAATTTATTTTAAAATTCTGCGTTGCCTAAAGGACGGACATAATGCCCTCCCCGCAGCCTAATGCGGGTAAAGGAAGGCTCTTGTTCCTCAAAGTCTGTAAAAGACACGTGAAGCTGGCAGCAGCCCTGATGGCCTCGCTGTAGCAGGAGAGGATGCGTAGTTCCTCTTTTTGGACGCGGTTCCTGCCGGTCTCCCCACGGCTGCTCATTCTCGGAGAGATGCTGGTTAAAACAGGCAAAGCTGAAGGGATTTCTAGTGTCCTAATGGCCGTCGTGCTGTGTCAGATGTTGCAAAGGGCAGTGGTGAATCCAGCTGCCAGCACTACTGTGCGTGCTGGGTTTGCCCTGGATGAAATTGTAATCCTGAATGATGAGTTTTCTTCCAAGAAAATACTAATGCAGATGGACAAGGTAACTATCCAGAGGAAACCATTGGGCTACATCTGGGTAAACTGTTTACAACGGAAGCATTTTACTTGCTATTAGCAGAGATCCGCTCAAGTCCACATGTTGCCTAGGAGGACAAATGAGCACCATAATTGGAAAACTATAGAAATCTGAATGATAGGATTATTTATCTAAAAGCTGGTCTCGTAATACTTTAACATAGCAATAGAAGTTCCATATTGCTGTACTTAGTACACTAATTTACAAAACTCGAGCTAGTTACATAGTAACATAGTCAAAGGCAACCTTTTCTGCCTTTATTTTTGGCCTACTTTTTTACTTTACACCCCTTTACCTGGTCATAAATAAATTCATGTTTCAAACTGAAGTAGTCATTTTAGTAATAGCAAATTGTATTTAAAAATTAACTTAGTAATTTTAGTAATAGGAGATTCCTAACAGCTATTTTTAAAAATCCCTTAATTCTTTGGATAAAGTGGATGTTTTGATTTGTATCTATGCCCTTCTATTTGCGATGGGTAAGCAACACCAGTGTCTTAAATTTCTCTTTAGTTCTAGCTGGATGTAGCCGCTCAGCAGGCATGAAGGATCCCTGTGTAGCTGTAGAATGACTAGCACTGCTCTGGCCATCTGGGGACCTCCAAGACTTTGGGGATAGTATTATATCTCTTTCTAAATGGATTTGTTATAGGTCTATAACGGTTGCAACTTCCACAGTCATCAAAGTATAGTTTGAATATGTGTAAGTTGGATGTGACTGAATTAAGCCCACTTGTAACATGGGAGGAGGGGGGAGAGGGAGAAGAGGGGGGGTTTCCCTGGAAAAAAGTGTACTATTATAGTCTATTGCACATTTGCTTAGGGAGTTTTAGAAAAAGACAAATGCTGAAGTGGATCAGGTTACTCGGTCATAGTTGTTCAGAGCTTCTTTTTTCTTTTTAGTTTAAACTCATATCCCAGGCATATGAAGTTCTGTCGGACCCAAAGAAAAGGGACCTCTATGACCAGGGTGGGGAGCAGGCTATTAAAGAAGGAGGCCTGAGTGGCGGCAGCTTCTCTTCACCCATGGACATCTTTGACATGTTCTTTGGTGGTGGAGGCCGAATGAATAGAGAGAGAAGAGGTACACAGTTCTAAAGTTCTGGAAACTCTAACCATGCACTTAAGCATAAAACACCTGTGCTATGGTACTGTTGTTCTGCTAAGTGCACATAGCGTGGATATTACTCATTGCAACAATAGATCAAGTAAACTATGATTTTTTATTTTTTTTTTTAGTTACTCTAGCATTAAGATTCTAATGAAGTAGATAACATGATGTAGCCATAGCAATCTTTCTGATGATTTCTGGTTTATTTTTTGTTAAAGTGGGTGTGGGTACTGTGTAGGGGAGGGGGAAACATTGGTAGGCTAGAGCAGTTGAATTAGACCTATTTTAAGTTACTTTTTTTTCAGATCTGTGCCTTGCTTGCTCATATGTTTTGGGCAACTTGTTTCAAAGGACACCATCAACTTAAACTGCAGTAATGTTAAATCTCATTAAAATATTTGAGAGAAATTATGGGAAATGATACAAGAGTGTTGCCCAAAGCTTAGTATGATTTTTTTTTTTTTCTTTTTCCATGACCAGTGTCTGTTGAAGGAGCAAGTAGTAACTTGCTGTAAAATCTTTAAAATTATGTTGTGAAGTGGCATGGAAATTTATAGATGGGCATGAGTTGACTAGATCTGATGAAGCTGGTAGTGTCCTTGCATCTTGTTTCAATTAAGCTTATAAAATTAGGGGTAGGAAGAGGGATAGGGTGGTTTTAATGATGCTTTGCTTAAATACAGCTAAACTTTATGTTCAGACATAAGTGGGTGCAGCTCAGTGGAAGCTGGTGGAACTGCACAAACTTTTAAGGGGGCTGAGCTGTGTTCAAAGTTTGGAATGAACGTTACATTTCTTCAGTGAGACAGTGCATGTATGAACAAATGTAGAAGCCTTTAAATAAACATTTATCTTTACAACGACTGAACCAGAATTAATCTTTCTCTTTTGGTTTGTTTTTTTTTTTTCCCCAAGGCAAAAATGTTGTGCACCAGTTAGGTGTATCTCTTGAAGACTTATATAATGGTATTACAAGGAAACTGGCACTGCAAAAGAATGTTATTTGTGGAAAGTGTGAAGGTAAAAAAATAAGTAGTGGTTTCAAACTCCTCCAAGCTTTTTTTTTTTTCCCCCTAAAGAATATTAGGTAGGGGGGCTGGGAATAGAGTATGGGGTTTTAAAATTTTCCCCAAGTCTGCCAGGGTATTTAATTTTTATTTATGCCTATCCAAGAATAAGGCTTTCTTAAACATAGTGGCATAAAGGTACTGTTCTAATGGCAGATTTAAACTTGCTGTAAATTATAGTTGTGTACCTAAATTAAAAGTGTCTTAATCCAGAACTTCAATAAATGGCTGTTTTGTTAAACTTTTTTTTTAATTGCTGTGGGTAGAAGTCTAGCGTCTATTGCACAACTCCAAGTATCCATAGTGACTGGTCTTCTTTGAGGTAAATGTTAATGAGGTCTTATATCTTAGTACTCTTAAATATTCAGTAAGCAGGTTCTTTCCAAAGTATTAATGGAATGTCTAGGTCTTGAAGTCGATATGCTGACAGTTCCTTGAAAACTAAGATGTTTCGGGAGGTGGGGCAGAGGCTAATAGAATAAGCTGTGCATAGAAATCTTGACTTTCTTTTTGCTTGTAGAAACTTCTAACTTGTGGAACATGTTTCATGTTAAACTAAATTCCAATTACATGTGAAATATATTACTGAACTCTTTAAGTTGCCCTAAAGGTGCTCTTGAAGTCAATGAGTTCCAGCCTGACTACTGTAGAGTGACTTTTTTTGTTTTGAGACTAAGATCAGATTTAACTTTTTTGTTAAAGGTTATGGTGGAAAGAGAGGGGCGATAGAAAAATGCTCTGTGTGTAAAGGAAGAGGAGTGCAAGTTCTAGTTCAGCAGATTGGACCTGGCATGGTACAACAAATCCAAACTGTGTGTCCAGAATGCAAAGGCCAAGGTGAAAGAATAAATCCGAAGGATAGATGTGACAACTGCAACGGCTGTAAGGTTGTAAGAGAGAAAAAGATCATAGAAGTTCACGTTGATAAAGGTAAGAACTGTGTATTTGTTCTGTGTCCCCAATCATAGTATATAGTTCTGCAGAGAATAAATGGATTTCTTTTCTCCAGGTATGAAAGATGGTCAGAAGATAGTATTTCATGGAGAAGGTGACCAGGAGCCTGATGTGGAGCCTGGTGATGTTATAATTGTGCTTGATCAAAAGGATCACAGTGTCTTTCAGAGGCGAGGGCATGACTTAATCACAAAAATGAGAATTCAACTCTCAGAGGCTTTATGTGGTTTCAGAAAGACCATTGAAACACTGGACAACAGAGTTCTTGTCGTATCATCTAGGCCAGGTAGGTCTTACAGAATTCTGAGGCTATATAAACTGCATGCCTCTTTCATTGTGCTGGGACTAGGGTTTTTTGGGGAGTTTGTTCTGGCTTTTTTTAACCAGTTTATGCAACAGACTCAAATGACACTTGCAGTTATTTAATTTAGTTGGTTCTTTGTCATTCTTCTCATTCCTTCTAAAACATCTAATGTAGAATTATAGCTAAGGATGTCAACTGCTTAATAAACTTCAGCCTCAGCTGGTGGATAGCCAGGAAAATATTCAAGAGGCCAGAAACTTAAAATTCCACCAGATTATCTGTTAATTCAGCCCAAAAGCTGTGCTAGGAGAAGCTGATTCTTTCACAGCAGAGGAAATAGCCTAAATGGTCTTCTGTATAGCTTGGGTTTAGTACTTTTTCAGTCTGAGCTTTTTCTGTGAGTTGCTGGGTCACCTCCCTCAGATGCAGTGGGAGCACTGCTTGTGTATAAACCTGCTTTTCATCGTTATGAAACGTCTGTCACAAGCTTACTTGCAGCTTTTACCTATGTGTAGGTGAAGTGATAAAACATGGTGACCTGAAGTGTATCCGCAACGAAGGGATGCCTGTCTACAAATCTCCAATGGACAAAGGCAGCTTAATTATACAATTTCTGGTAAGTTTACTGCTTTTCTTTAGCAAATATATCTATGCTGGTATCAGGAGTAATTATTTATTTAAAAAATCCCATAAAATTTTAGGTCCAGTTCCCAGAGCACTACTGGATCCCGAGGGAGAAGCTGTGTCTGCTGGAGGCTCTGCTTCCTCCACGAGAAGATGTTATGATTACAGACGAGATGGATCAGGTAGACCTGGCAGACTTTGATCCAAGTGAGCAAACCTGCCGTAACAGTGGGGGAGAAGCTTATGAAGAAGATGAGGAGGGTCCAAGAACAGGAGTACAATGTCAGACATCTTAAAGCAAGGTGGAATGGATGTCATCTAAATGTAAATTTTCACAATGAAAACTGCATGGCTGTAATAGCCACTGCTTGTGGTTTTTGTGTTCAGCAAATTGAGTTGCTGCGCTGTCAGTTATCACCTTTTTGTAACTAATTTATATTGTGTTCTTGTAGTCTTTATATAAAACGTCACACAGCTGAGAACCGACTGAGTTGGTATACATTTTCCTTTGCTGTGAAGGTTCTCAATTTATTTCACCTATGCTATTTCTAGAAGACTTTGGCAATATTGATAGAGGCTAAGTGGAGTGTCTTATGTAAATACTTTCATACTGGAAAATTAATTTCATAGAATAAATCATAGGAGAAATAACTTCTAATAAATAGAACTCTTCACATTTTATCATGCTTCTCTCGTACTTTCTAAGCCACACTAGAACCCTCTTTATTTAAGTTTCTCTAAGCTCAGACTATCATCTGATCAGGATTGTTCTCCATATTCAACTTTGTTAGCTGTAATGCTAGTACCTGTCTCATTTTGTATTTCAAAAGCATTTTGTGCATGCCTCACTCATTGCATAACAGCACTCCTCCCTCTGTTCATTTGCTGTAGTAGTGTTTCTGCTGCTGTGCTCTATGTAAGTGTAACTTAAAATTTTAAGGTATCCTAATGTGTATAGTGTGTACCCTACATACTTCTAATATACATACAGGTAGCTACATAAGAAATATTTTTTTGATCTTTCAGAAGCTCCAGCTCTAGATTTCAGCCTTCCCTAGAAAGGGTTTTTACTTCCTCTTAGGCACTGTGTATTTGAGCCTTAACTATGATGAATAAAACAAAACCACAGGTGTTGGGTATACTGCTGCTCTTCTATAACACAACAAGATACCATCCTAGAATGATAATATTAAAGGTTTTTTCCTTTTGTCTGCTTTCTAGTAGAATTTGTATTAAGTCAGGGTTGGAAACAACTAGCACCCTTTAGTGAAATTAAACCGTGATGAATGAGCCCTGTGTCCCCGTACAATTGCTGGAACAGGTGTTGAACTGATGTGACCCTCTTGCACTCATGGGGACAACCCCAAGAGGGAGTGCAGGCTCTCGCTTCCCCTGCCTGCAACACAGAGCCTCTCTCACTCTGCCTTTTGCTAAAATAAGCTGCTGTGAAACTTGGTCAACGCTCTCCAGTTCTAGTCTATTTATGTATAGAGGCAGGGGAGATTAACTGAGCAGTTACCTTCACCCATGACTGTATATTTCCAAAAATACATTTTTTCCAAGGATCAGACACAAGTTACTGGCAGCTGTAGCTTTTATTTTAAAAAAGTAAAGCTTTCATGCTAAACAAAATCAAAATTACATATAAACATACCCAATTTTACAGATCAGCATTACTAAAATGCTTTTATAGTACTGAAAAATTATTGTGAAAGGACAGTAGTATTACTGAAAACTGCCACAAGGTTAGCCAGAGTCTGAGTCAAGACATTTAAACTGGACAGTCATAAATATGAATTTCTTGGTCATCTCCAACAGATACAATTTTGGACCCATTTCCATTGTATTTCACTCCCCAAACCTGCAAACAGGACATAAGGTTATCAATGGGAGACGAAAGAAAAAACTATCTTCAGAATAGTCATATTTATTGACTAGAAACAAGCAGAAGGAAGATAATTATTTAGGATGAGTTTGTTAGATCTGGTCCAGTTACAGCTTCTGCTTTAACAACAGCTGAGGCTGATGAACCAGAGCGGGACACTGCCATCTAGTAGCCTGACAAGTTCTTAGATTCCTCTCCTACTGAGGATGGATTATGCAATCTAAAGATACTGGAAAAAGGCTGAAAAGTGCTTGCCCTAGTTCACATAAATCAAACCTAACATTTTTCACTCTTCCCCCTTCCCGTCTTCCTTGTGGAAAAGAGTATTTTACAGTGCTTTCAGGAAAGCAAAAGAGGAAGTACTTTTCATGCAGACTGACACATCAGGACAGGCTGAAGAATGATCCTTGGGCTAATTAAGCCATTTACTTATTAGTGCAAAACAGTAAAATTTAGGTCAGTTCTCTGACGGGTTACACAGACTGAACTGGCCCCATCTCCCATCAACAGGATGACATCAGGAAGAGCGAAGGTGACCCAGCATATTAACATGGGATTGCAGCATGGGTATATTGGCAACAGCACATTTGGGGGAATCTCACACCATTTTGCATTAGTACCTAAAAACCAGCCTTCTCAAGACACAATACATCTATGCCTTCCACAAACTGATGAGATTATATACAACAGTTAAATAACACTTGAAATCCAATTCTGCTTGAATACTAAAACCCCCGTACCTGTAGATAACTGACAAGAAGCTTACCAGAAAAATACTATGGAAAAAAGAGCTCAAAATCTGAAAGAATTTCCTTTGTTAAGTCTTCCTCTATGATCCATTAAAAATAGCCTGTTTATTTAACACCTAACATTTGGAAAAAGAGTAATTTAGTAGATAACTAATTTCCTCTTCCCTCATGGGTAGCTATCACTTGAGGAAAAAAAAAAAAAAAAGGTATTGCAGACATTTGAGGAGGTAAAAGTCCCAAATTTCAAGGGTGCTTTCAAGCATCTTACATAATTCCATCCTTTTAAATAAGTATTCTTCTCCCTTACACATGCAGATGCTGTGTAAGTGATAGAAATAAGACCACAGACAAAGATAAAAAAATACGGTCTGGTAAAAATCCTTCTGGCCACTCAGGATTACCCTTATTTGAACCTGAAAAATGTAACTACTTGGAAGGGATCAACCTATGTGCTTGGAGTATTAGTTCGATAGTAAGTGCCAAGCAATAGTGAACAACTTTTAAGATTACATTACAGCAAGCTTAAGTCCAACCCTGAAGCTGCAGCCCTCAGTTGAAGCACAAATGTGTACAACTACAGATGAGTTCTGTGAACGCAGCGACCTAGATAAAGCAATACCTGATCTTGGTGGTCAAAGAAAGTATGAACACAGGTTCTCGTTCCAGCATCCCAGACTTTTACACTTTTATCAGATGAACTGAAAGAAAAATAATATTGGTCAAAGTTTAAATTAATAGATTAACTATAGTTTAGTTAATATATTCTCATATTATAGTCTCATCCAGTAGACATAAGAAACCCTCTTTCACCCATCACCCATAGTAAAGTAGTAAAGGACAGTGCATCTTCTGCCAGGTTCCAGTTACTTGAAAATACATTTACTGTTTCAATATCTGCAACATGAAAATGAAGACTCCCATTTTAGCCATCAAATTCTTTGAAGCAAGTTCTTTGGATAAACTCCTGCTATATATACTTGGTCTCTCAACTGCCTGAACTCAATTTTAAGAGTTAACACTGAAGTTCAACTAGATTAATGTACTACTTACTATTGGGTTGTACCTTTTAATTCAACAGCAATTTTTCAGCTCTTTAGTCGACCTGCCCTTAGGTTTAGCTGTTCTTCACGTGTAGTTCACTCCACTGCAGTGTAGTTTTTTCAGTGTAGACTTATGCTATAAAATACTACTCACTACAACTGGTATCATCACAGATTGGCTCCTGAGTCTAATTGCAATGTATCTTATTCCATTACAGATTCCATTGCAATTCGTACACCTTTACTTTTATGATTCATCTCCCTTTATAAATATAACAATTTTGTATTTTTCTTCAGTAAGCAAAACCAAGTTAAAAATCCTCAATACCTGGAAACAAAATGTGTATCATCAGGACAAAATGCTACATTTAATACCCACGATCCATGACCACTTAATGTGCCAGCCAAGTTTGCATGTTGCCTGTGGAAAGAACAAATTTTAATATTTGATTTGTGAATTCCAGGGAAAGAGCAACAGGAACATACTCTAGCTAGTGAAGTCAGGAATGGTTCAGTGCAAGGTCATGGAAGGTGACTTCTGGACATTTTTCATTCAAGCTGTTACAACAGATTCTGCTCTTCCATTTCAAATGGTTAACATAAAAGGAAGCCACTAAGATACACTGGTGAACAAAACAGTTCAACCATAAAGAAGGTAAAGTAATGCGGGTTTAGGGGAGTAAAGATAACAGAAGCTCTGCCTTTTTCTCCCCAGGGTCTTCCAAGTTTTTGCACAATGCAACAGAAATAGGTCATAATTTCTTGGATACAGAACAGATGTTGAAGATGAGTAAACACAAACACACAGGACAGATACACAAAACAATTAGCCTGTTGCCTACAGGGCAAATATGAGCAAAGTAATTTGTTTTCATGTTAAGGCTGTCATCCACCTATGCACTTTTTAAAGACTATCTAAGGGTGTAATATTTTATTATTTAAGATTATTTATTACATAAAGAAGTCACCAAAAGCTGAAGCGAATTATGGAGAACAGAGGGTTTGATGATTTTTACAGTATCAGCCCCTCTGAAAAGTTACTTTCCTGTTAGCATGTCTTGCAAAGTAACAACTTACACGTCGTAGATTTTGATATAGCCATCATCTGAAGCAGTTACAAGTAACTGAGAATCTGGAGAAAATGTCAGTGAACGAATAGGCATGGCATGACCTGAAATTCAAAGTTAATATGGCTTAGAATGAAACTATTCCTCTTGGTAATGACAGTGTTTAAGATGCTACACCAGACAGCATTCCCTGTTAACGAAAGCAACCTCTGTAGAGTCTTTCTCTCTCTGCCTTGACAGGCTTCCTCACACAACATGGAAACTGACAGTAATTTCAAGCTTTGAATGTTAGGGCATGTCCACTGCAACACAAAAATATTTTTTCAGATGTGGATCTTTATTAGAATTTCATATTAAGTGACTGGATTTTTTAAAATTAACTATATAACTGGACAGATACTGCACAAACATTAAAAGCCCATTTATCTGTTAGAAAAATGCATGGAAAATGCTGTTATTTTTTTTAAAAGGAATATATTGCTATAAAACTGATACTATAGTGAAAAGAAAAATCATACACATGGCAGCACACATTTGGCTTAGCTTCATTTGCCTTGTACTGCACTGCAGTACAAGAAGGAACTGTAATTTAAGGACTTAGTTAAGCATTACTGACTATATCTTTTGAGATAGGCATTTATGATGCAAGCCTGAGTTTACAGTTCACCTCTAACATTTTAAGTGATCTAAGTTACAGCACACTAAATGATGCTTCTGTCCATTAGACAGTATCTAGGTAACTCATTTATGCCATGGCTGTTGTATCTTATTCTGACTTTAACTATTCCTTTAACTTTGTTGAGGAATGAAGCCAGAACTTGGGTAACTGCAAATGCACAAACCATTACCTTCTAGCGTATGCAGAAGTTTTCCAGTTGCAATATCAAAAATATTGATAATGCCATCTATCGCTCCACTGGCTAAGTATTTTCCATCTGGACTCTGTAACAGAGCACAGAAAGTATGTGTTTAACAACTGTATGTATTTATCCTATGCACTTCCCTGACATTCTCTTGGCAACTTTTCACAAATACAATCTATGCAAGATACCTGGGCTCTAAAAATCCTGAAAACTTAACTGATTTCACAATCAGTTTATAAGCAAGATCAAAGTATATTTTCCATATATGCAGGGGCGGAATGTCATGCAGGTTGTATTTGGAACTATCAAATTACGGCTGTCTTTTCATATTATGTAAACTGATAGATGGAAACAAAATATCTGATTCACAATACATAACAGCAGTAGCAACTTCACATAAGAAATTATCAATTGTTCTTCTTACATATGCAATACTAAGGATGAACTTTCCTCTCGTGTCCAGAGAATATTCTTTCTTTCCAGTTTCAACACCAAAAATATTTACTTTTCCCACATGACTTCCTGTTGCAAGGTACTGGGAATCAGGTGAAAAAGCCAGGGACCAAGCATCAACTGTATTAGAAAGAAAAAAATCAGTTAGCTG